ATCCAGCCGCTGCTGAATCTGACCAGCAGTGGCTGAATCAGGATGCCTGGGGCAGAACAGCTGGGGTGCTGCCCGGTTTGTCTGCAGACCAGGGGGACGGGGAGGGGGGGGCAAAGCAGAGCCAAGCCTCGGAGCGCGTGGGCAGCGGACAGCCCTGTCCGCTGCCCACGTGTTCCGCCGCTTTGCTTCCTCTCCCTGGTCTGCTGGAGACCAGGGAGAGGAACCCCGTTCGTAACTGCGGATCCGACATAAGTCGGATCCGCGTAACTCGGGGACTGCCTGTACTTACATAACACTTTATATTTTCAAAGCCCTTATACATCAGCTGCCTGGGAGGTGGGCAACTTGTTGTCCCCATATCACAGGATGGGAAACATACACAGAAGTTCAGACCTACATTTCTGGAAGCCTCCAGTAATTTTGAGCGTACAACTCAAGACACCTATGATGTGATTTTCACAGATGTTGAGAATCTTCAGTGATTTCAACAGCAGTTGTGGGTTCTCAGCACTTCTGAAAATGAAGCACAAGTTGGGAACCCCAAAACTGAGCTACACAAAATTACTGCACACTTGAAAATTTAGACTTAAGTGAGTTGCTCAAGGCTCCAGCAGGATATCATTCAGAATCAGATCTGAGGAGTTCCTGACTCGCCTTTTAGTTTGCAAGAAAAACAATCGAAGGCATTTGTGTGGTGCTGCCTCAGCCCAAACTGATAAAACCAGCAAATAGTTATCAACTACAAAGAAAAGCTCCTTCTATTATGAAATAATATTCTGTACCCAACCAAGGCCAAAGAGAAATGGTTAGACACTTAACAAGTTATTTAGTCTTAGTTGTACAGCAGCTCCTGATAGCTAAGTAGGTGTGGACCTAGAAGGAGTCCTCTATTTTCCAACACACCAAAACAGCAGTGGCATCCGGAAGCCCCAGTCCTCTTTGAATTGCTAGCTCTGGGGCTACTGTCCACTTTACCTCACACCCCCATCAGCAGGTCTGACTACAGGGATATAGGGACTTGTGGATCTAGATCTAAACTTCACCCAAGTTTGAGGGTATATAGATATAGAGCAGTGGTCACCAACCAGTTGATCGGGATCTACCGGTAGATCTTGGAGCCTCTGACAGGGGATCTTGACTGGTTTGGCCAAGAGGCTATCAAGTGCCGGCACTTCAGCTGCCCCTCCCCCTACTGCTGCGCATCTCCTGCCCTTTGCCTTGGAGCTGTCCCCTCAGGAGCCTGCTGCTTTCTGTGAAGGGCAGAGGAGGAAGAGGGGTGCCGATGTCAAGATGCCCCCTCTCCCATCTTGTATCCTTTCTCCACAGAGCAGGGCAGGGGGCACAACAAGACTTGGGATGGAGTTTACTGGCTGCTTTCGGGAGTGATGCAGGGACAGGGCAGGGGTGAGCCTGACTTAGCCCCACTGCACCACCACCCAGGAGCCACCTGAGGTAAACAGTGCCCAGCTAGTGCCCACATCCCGAAACCCTACCCCAGTCATGAACCCCGTCCTGTGCCCCAGGTCCCTGCTCCAGCCCCGAGCACCCCTGCACCCTCCCAGAGCCTGCACCTAGAACCCCCTCTGGAACCCCAACTGCCTGCCCCAAGCTCAGCTCAGAGCCCCTCTCGCACTCCAAATCCAGAGTCTGTACCCCAACCTGCTGTTCCTGCCTGGGGAAAAGTGAGGGAGGATGGGGGAGGGAGGAAGGATGCAGTGAGCAGGGGCGGGGTCTCAGGGAAGTGGTGGGAAGGAGGTAGGGGAAGCATATTTGGGTTTGAGGTAGATACTGGGTTGCACTTAAATTCAAAAAGTGATCACGTGCTTAAAAAGGTTGGAGACCCCTGATCTAGAGTTTTAGTTCAGGCCTGACTGAATATGGTATTATATTCTATGCAGAAGTTCCTTCACCAGTTTTATTCTCAAATTTCTGTAACAGTGGTTCTCAACTAGGGGTCCGGTTTGGGCCCCCCCGGGGGATCACCAGCAGGTTTCAGGGCATCTTCCAAGTAGGGCCAGTATTGAACTCCCGGTGGCCATTGCAGAAAGCCAAAACCCCAATGCATGGAGCTCTGAGCCCCACCACCCAGGGATGAAGACAAAGCATGAGTAATATAGCTTTGCAGGGGAGGGTGGCTATGACAACTGTCCTGCTTGCTACCCCCTAACACCAGCCCTAGCTTTTATATGCAGAGAACAAGTTATTGTGGTGTAGTTGGGGGGAGGAGGGCTGAGAAAGAAAAAGTTGAGAACCCCTGTTCTGAAATACACAACCAGACTATCACCATCAACAACTTTACTTATCTCACTTCAAGAATATTTGGCACTTTTGCCATACACTGTAATTTTTTCCTAATAGTGTTCACTCCTACTTAATTAATTTGTTATTCCCATTTAACAAAATACACCAGAACAAATTGGGCCAGCCTCCAGCCTCTCTCCTCTGCACCGTTCTAACAGCATAAAGCAGTGGAAACCTTGTAGATGTAGCTATCTGGGGATTCCCCTTGTATAAGGGGAATATACCAAGTGCAAGAGAACCACTGGCACTATCTATATGCCACTTCCTCTAGTGACCGCCCCCTCCCCGTCCTCAGGCTGCTTTAAATTGTGCCAGAAACTGAATTAGCCTTTGAATGGCTTCAGGACCAACGTGGTTCCCTCTCTGGTTTTGTGCTAAGTGCAGCTTGGCCAAACCTAGGCTGATTGGGGGTGGGAGAGGGAGGGGGGAAGGGTGCAATTCAGAGCTTCAGTCGGCCCGTTAAATCACCACCAGAGCACTGTGCTGTGTGCTCTGGGTGGCTCTAAGGATTGGGGGGCGGGGGCGTGCCACACTCTGGGCAGCATGGAGGGCTGATTACCCTGGCCCTGCCCCTGCCACCCAAGACCCTGCTCCTTTCAGGAGCACAGTGCTGTCACCCCACACCTAGCCCAGGAAGACTGTCTGCTCCTCTGGCTGAACCACAGGATCTGGTTTATGACCTGAATGGACACAATGCACCGTATCTTTTTTGCATGTCTGGAATTCAGGTTGCAGGTTTGGTTGCAAGTTCAAGTTTAAGGAGGGAGACTAGGAGAAAGGGTAGTTACAAATGATGAGTTTGGATCATTGTTGGAAAATAGGAAAATACTGACTTAGGCTGTTGATTTCCTGGATTTTGCTTGTTTGTGGTGACATTAAAAGCTATTCAAGAACTTTAAGTTAATGTAGGCATGCTGGGGTGTAGGAAAAAATATAAAAATAGCCCACTTCTATTAACAGACTATTTAGTGGAACAAAGTAACATAACACAATGATTTGGGACAGGAAGTGATCTTGACCATTTTAGTTAAAGAATCACATTTTAAATGGATGAAAGTCTGGGTCATTTCCATGAAACAGGGTCCTTCTTTATAGTGATGTTAATACTAATGTTATAATATCAGAACAAGTGACAGAAATGCAACACAGTATGCAGAAAATGCAGCCATCGTTTGCATTAAGTTCTTCTTTAACAAGATGAGGGGGTTTTGTGCTTTTTTGTTTCTTTCTTGCCTTTTTTTTTTAAATAAAAATAGGTTTATGGGGGGGGGGAGAGAAAATGATCCATGATGTGGGAAGATTGCATGCTTATAAAATTTCAGTAGCCACATTTGTTTTTTCTCCCTCAATATGAAAATGCAAAATGACTCATGGTGACACTATAGTCTGCCAAGTGCTCACCCAGTGACACACACAACTGCCATGTGGCCTGGAATTGATCAAAAGACCTTTTTTTTTTCAAATAAAACTCCATATGCATGAATGCCTCTACTAAAACCACAAATTCAAGCGCCTTTGTTAGAGGGCCACAGCTCCCTGCTATCTCTGGATTACATATTTTAGAAAAGCTTTGGTTGTTTTTGCCTGTGGGTTCTGTATGGGGGTGTTGTCTCGTCGGCTCTTTTCATTTTTTCCCCTGCCTAGCTGGTTTAATCATCCTAATGAGCGTTCTTGTTGAATCTTCTCTCTGCTTGAGTTGGCAACATCTGACCCATAGAACATAACTGCTCTTCTACTATATAATATTATTCATCTGTATCAAGCAGTTCTGCAGACCAGCAGTTCTCAAGGTGTAGGCTGTTGCCAGACTTCGTAAGGTTACAGAGGTTTCCATTCCCTCATCATTGGTCTTCCATTAAAGGAGATCTGGTCACTTACATCAGACCAGATCTTCCACAGATGCCAGGAGTACACTAAATTCAAGTGTGATGATCTCATAGTAGCTTCAGTGGGAATGGGCACAAGAGGTTTCAGGGCAAATCTGGAGAGGATCAGCTAAGTGTGAAGTGACAGTATGAGAAATGTTAAAAGTCTCTGCTGCTGAATGCATGCTTTGGCAGGGCTTCCTTACCATAGTGCCTTGCTGTGTCAGTCTTAGGAAAGAGGCTGTATTTGTGCTCAGGTTACTTTACCCCACAGCATTATTCTTGCACATGGAGATCTGGTAAATTCAAAGTGTACTAAACAAACCCAACTGGGCTTGAATGACTGAGGGTAACAAGTAAGCTTAGAAATACTTCTCCTATTGGAGGGGTGCTGCTTACAGGACACAACTACCTACAAAATGGGCTACTTTATCCAATGGCAGGGTACCTTTCTAACTCTTTAAGAAAATCACAGACCTAAGAAAGCAGGGCACAAACCTTCATAGACTTTGTCCATCTATTCCTTGTACTTCTGTCCAACTTGTTTTTAAACAATAAATAAACCACCCCCTAAACATTTGGACAGCTGGCAAGCATCACAGCTACAAGCTGGAATCTACTTTTCCACATCCCAGTAGTGCTAGGATTGCTGACCATTTTTTTAATTCTAAACAAATCCCAGAGGAATGTGACAAAATCATGATGTGCAATCACAAACCAGCCCTAAATATCCACTCTCACACGTTACTACCATTATTCACCCAAACTTATGTTTTTAGCTTCTGTTCATTTGCCTAAACCCAAAGGAGGCTGTAAAATACCTTCCGTCCAGGTGAAGGGATTAACCCTTTCATTCTTGACAAGGAAAAATAAACCTAACTCTTGACCTTTTTGTTGTTTTTTAACTAAGAGTTTGCAAAAGCAACAACCCTGATTTCCACATCATTCTCATTTCTCTGTTCTTGTTATTTTAAAACACTTATGAGGCAATATCATAAATCAAATTCAAAGCTTGCTTGGTTTCTGTGGTGACCAAAACTAGCTACCAGTGGAAAATGTGTTTGGGAGGTGGCGGAAAGGAAATTAGATCTCTGTTTAGTTTCAACATTATTGCAACAGGCAAGGAGGTGAGAGACCCTGGAGCCTAACCTACTCTGTCCTTGCTGGGCCAAGGCTGA